TAAAATGTTTTTATCCTACACTGTTTGGTCAAACAGCTTAAAAAAAAAAAAAATTCTTGCTTGTACAAGTCAGACAGGAGAGAACTCTGCACCTGGTAAGTCCGAATAGCTTTACCTCCATTTCATACAAACTGAGTTAAATCCAAGAAAGCTGAAACTCATTTACAGCATTTTTCTAACACAGTGTAAATCGTAATATCGGTATAAGATTCATGTGCAGTTTGTTCAAAATCATTTTTTAATACTTTTGGAGAATTTGCTTTTTTGTTTTTCTGAAAAAAAAAAAAATAATAATAATGATTATTCCTGGCATCTAATATCAGTCTCTGAGATCTGGTCCCTTTTTGTTTTAAGGAATGGCAGCTGATGAGATCTCTGCCTCTGAGAAGCTGCTGTGCTGCATCTGCCTGGATTCCTTCGCCGAGCCTGTAACCCTACCATGTAGACACGACTTCTGCTGCAAATGCATCACCCAATACTGGGACAACACTGACAGATGTCGCTTTCCTCTGTGTAATGAATGCTTCAGCACCAGACCCAAACTTGAAGTTAATTCAGTAAGGTCTGAACTAATGGATCTATTGTGCGACTCTGCAAAGGAGACAGCCAGTAGTCGCAGCGCGGAGCATCAAGCCAATGCAGGAGAGGTTCTGTGTGACGTCTGTACTAAGTCAGCTCAGAAGTCCTGCATGGCGTGTCTCAGCTCCTACTGTGAGACTCATGTAAGGTTTCATCACAGCTTTGCAGGTCTGAGGAGACCTAATGGACCCTGTGGAGGGACTGGAGGACAGAATGTGCCAGAAGTACCAAAAGGTGTCAGAAAAGCTGCTGAGATTTTTTTTTAAAGTTTCAGGGCGTCAACTTTCAGATCAAAGCTAATAAGAACCTGTAGGAGAAGCTCACAGAAATTATGACCGGCTGATGTTTTAAACTGAGCTTTGGTCATTCTTTTAACACAGGATGTTTTTATTGAACTTTATTTCCTTGGCATCTGATGCATGATGCCCTCTAAGAGGTTTCATATTCCTTCAGGGCTGTCAACTCTCACCCATTGACAGTGAGACTCACCCATCTCAGTGTCTTCTCACACACTCTCACTCCATATTCCCAATTTCTCACACTGAAAAATTACAGACATTAAAACTCCATTCCATTCCATTTATTTATGTATAAAAAATACCATGGTGATCACAATCCAGTCAAAAAACAAAACAAAACAAAAAATGAAAAATGCTTCTGAATATGCCGTAAAGGGTATTGACTGAGAGTTTTCAGTAAAGATATAATCCCAGAAGTAAAAATTTTCTTTCAAAAGAAGATGCATAAAAAAGGGTTAATGTTGGATTATGAGTAACTAGGGAGAAAAGATGTTGAAGGCTGCCAGGGATTTATAATATAAATCCTATATATTATATTATATATATATATATATATATATATATATATATATATATATATATATATATATATATATATATATATATATATATATATATATATATATATATTATATATATATACAATATAAACAAAAGCCCTGCTTTTGTCTATATTGTTTTATTGCCTTCAAAGTTAAACTGTATGAAACAGTGAGGTTAAAGGGGTTCTGGGGGTTGGTTTAATAAATATTTCCAATTTAGGACCTTATAAACATTCCTGCGTCTAATAAGGTTAAAAAAAGGCGTATTTCAGGAATTTTCAAAGTTATGTCTGTATCTTTTGTTTCTATAAATGTTAGACGCAAGGCTTTCTTTTTATTCTGTAAGGAACAACTGACAAATAGTTTTTTTCTGCAAGAGACTCACTCAGAGGTAACAGATGAAAAATTTTGGAAACAGCAATGGGGAGATGAAATACTTTTCTCTCTTGGAACCTCTCATTCTGCAGGAGTGATGGTGCTTTTCAATACATTTCCAGGAAAGGTAATTGCACACAAAACCCATACGGATGGACCTTGGCTTATAATGGCAGTAGAAATGCATGATCAGAGATATATTCTACTTCGTGTGTATGGTTATGACAACAGAAAAACTAATAAGGTCATGATGGAAAGACTAAGTTTGCCCGTAAATGAGTGGAAAGTTACTTTTATGACATAGAAAGTGGTAATGGGTGGTTATTATAAGATAGCTCCTGATTCAGAGATTGATGGCAAACCTCATAGAGGTCAGCATCCTGCATATGATGATATTTTGCCCAGTCTATGTACATCAACACATACAGTGGATTACTGGAGAATATCCAACCCCACCTCTGTAAAATACACTTGGTCTAACTCTGCAGATAACAATCAGTGTTCAAGATTAGATTGTTGGTTAATTTATCAGATTATAGCTAAAGATGTTTTTAAATAGTACATTTAACCACTGTATGATTAAATTGACATTATGAATAATTCAACAACCCAAGTCATCAGCAAACATCTGGAAATTCAATAATAGTTTATTACTTAATGCCAAATTCTGTAGGCAAGTTAATCCTTTTTCAAAACATAAATGGTCTGGATATGTCACTAGAGTGGCCATTTCTATAGCACCAAAAAGGAGGACATTGTGTGGCATATCAATAAATTACTAAGGTGTACATAAGAATCGGGTAAAGTCATATTTATAGCACAATTCTTAGTAGTTTAAAGAGGATGCTTGTGTAGCTGAATAGAACAAAATATTAAAGAAATGTAAAAAAGAATTGGTTCCCAGCATTTGTATTTATTTAATACATTGTGGTGTTTAAAAAGTGACAATTTTTTAACACAATTAATTTGCGCAGAACTGCTGCAATTGATCATAAAGCAGTTGTTTGGAAAAGAAGCTCGAGAAAGAGCTAGAGAATAGGACAATGCAAACTGCAAAAAGTGGCTGGAAAAGAGGAATTCATGACATGGCTGCAGCCTGTCGAGAGTAAAGATGATTTCACCATGTTCTCAATCTATCCATATCTATCTATATATCTATCTATCCATATCTATCTATATATCTATCTATCTATCTATCTATCTATCTATCTATCTATCTATCTATCTATCTATCTATCTATCTATCTATCTATCTATCTATCTATCTATCTATCTATCTATCTATCTATCTATCTATCTATCTATCTATCTATCTATCTATATATATATATATATATATATATATATATAAACTTGAGTCATGGAACTGTGCTTACAGCTCCTTATTTCATGTAAACTAATAACTTGTGTACATGATACTTGTTGATGGCATTAAAATTATTTCTAATAGCATTAAAAGAGCATTAAATTAGAGTTCCTCATTCCTGTATAAAACCTGTGAACGCTTAATTTAATCTGACATATTAAAAAAATCCCCATCATCATCCAGCAGATGTTCAGTTTCTGCCCAAATATTTTCTTTCTGTTGTGGATTTTTGTAACAGGGATAACTAGGATCATACATAGTTTGTATGAACTCTGTTTATTCTCTGCTTCCAAACACATCATCTCTTCATCCATTCCTGCAATAAGAATTTTCTTTTAAAGTTGTGAGATTCACTCTAGAATCTCACAACTTCTTCCTGGTCTGTTGAAGCACCAATAGTCTGCATCCAATTATTTAATTAATTGCTCTTAGTTTTTGGGAATATATACAAACTATGCTCTAATTTCTAGATACCGATCTGTTTTTACTATAATTTAATTTGACAAACCGGGTCTTCTCTACATTCTTTTTTCTGTTTGTTGCGATTGCAATAGCGGGTCTTGATCTGGACGGACCGGAGGGGAGCAAAAAATAGCTCAGCTCCGTATTTTGACGGTGAAGGACGGAGAAGACGTACGTGGGCGGTGACGAGCGGAGGATGTGGAACAGCTCTCATTGATTTACATGACAGACAAGTACTCCGTACGCGAGCGGGGCGGAGCGCTGACGGAGTATGTGGAATCTGGGGGTAAAGGAGGACAAATACACGTCCGGCTGGGTGCAGCGCCGGACGCCGGACAGTGCAATGAAAATCCGGACTGTCCGCCCTAAAGCCGGACATCTGGCCACCCTATATGTCACATATGAACAAATGGGAGTTCAAATTTGAAATTTTAACTTAAACAGTTAGCCATTGGAACATTTGAGATAAATCAAATATTTACATACTAGAATGACATTCCCGAAGGACTTATCTGATATGGTCAATATTGCTATAAATATGGGAAGATATTATATACATGCATGTAAATGGAAAAATCAAAAACCTTCAGTAATAAGTTTCTAAACGAACTCAAAATCTTCTACTCAGCTTTATCTCTGTTATCTGACAAATATGGACATATCCAAAAACTATGTAGTGACATGTCAAAATTTCTGGTGTTTGATTCAACAAAATGCTAAAGCTAACGTGATGTAAGGAACTGTCTTATTGCAGAATGAGGCTGGCTCTTTAAAATTTTTCTTTTTTTTCTTAAGTTTTGTATGTTTCCATCAGTTGTAATAATACTGCCTGTTTATCTATTCATTTATCTATGTTGCTTTGCAGTATTTAAGTTTATGATATATGTTGTCTTCTCTTTTTTACGTAAGAAAGAAATGTGGTGATTCCTACTAAAAAATCTAAATAAGTTTTGTTCAATAAAAAAGGGTAGTGACGCCGCAAATAAACACGCAGGAAAAAGAACTACATTTCCCATAGTTCCTAGTGATTATTTGTGCTTCAAACGGACAACAAATGACAAACCCTGTTCCCTTAAATTCCTCGCATGCGTTTGCGCGGTTTCGAGATAATCTGGATTTACTTTATTTTGTTCTCACCCTAAAGGTTCTTTATTTCTCAACAGTTTTTTTTAGCTTACTTACCCTGTCTCCAATAATTTGCAAGAATTTATATCGATTTGAAGACAACGAAATCGGAGCTCAGGTGTTTTTTTTACATTTTGAACTAAGGTTAGCTAATAGTTCACTGTAACTGAAGTTTCTTTATTATTCAGGTTAAATATTATTATCTAATTTCAGATTAGTAACAATTCTCCGTAATCATTTGCGCTTGGCCATCTTATTTCCTGCCTCTTGTCATAGCGTTTCGTTGTATCTACTGAGTTTAGTTAATCTTGTCCAGTAAATGGTTATGGATGAGGGTGACTTGAAACTGCTGGTGAAGCTAACTCAGGAGGGACGGTTAATCTGTCTGCAGAAACATGTGAAATCATGGAGCCCTGCAGCTGCTGCTTCTATCAGCAGCACACACTTCGGGCGCTCCGGAGACACTCTGCTGCACTATGCCTCAAGACACGGACGCTTGGATGTTATGGAGTTCCTTATAAAGCAACTTGGCGCAGACGTAGATGTGTACAATAATGGCTATAAGAGACCGCTGCATGAAGCCGCCTCTATGGGCCATATAAAGTGTGTGAGCTATTTAATGGAGGAAGGAGCTACCGTAGACAGCCTAAAAAAAGGCGACTGGTAGGAAATAACATGATTGGTGTATATTGGCTGAATTAGGAGCCCCTTCGATAGCTCAGTTGGTAGAGCGGAGGACTGTAGTTCATAAACAATTGACATCCTTAGGTCGCTGGTTCGAATCCGGCTCGAAGGAGTTTTTAAAGTTCGTTTCTATAGTGTATGTGATGTGTCTTGTTTTCCTCCGTGATGCTCTCATCTCTCATCCAGCTATACTTGCTGCTATTTATGCCTCCCTATCCCAGCCAGCTGTATATATATATATATATATATATATATATATATATATATATATATATATATATATATATATATATATATATATATACACACACATGTATATATATATCCCTTATTTTTTTTTCCCACGATGGGAAAATTCTGGTTTGCAGCAAAAAGATTATAGAAAAATGGTCACACAAATGTGGGCCTTAGAAAAATGTATAAGAATAATATAATAATGAAGAGCTAAAAAAATAAACAAAATACTGTAAAATAATGTGTTTTAACAATATAAATATTGTGCACCAGGAGAATAAATATCCAATTTACAGCTATGGACATTTTTACAGTAATGGTTATTTGAAAATAGCACCAACATCTGAGATGTGCAATAAAAATAAATAAATAAATAAAAATAATAGTATATATATATATATATATATATATATATATATATATATATATATATTATATCTGAAATATTTGAAGGCCTGAAATCCTTTCAATCAACATAGTTGACTAGTTTGTCTTCCAGCTTTTAAAGCAGCTACAGTACTTTGGTTTATTAGAAGTGCAGTAGGAGATATTATCTGACGCATTTTCTATCATGTGGCTTTAAGATCTCCTCGTGGTTTGCCGCGGCTGCAGACAGCATGCATTCATGAGTTTTGAAGGCGTGGCTTCAAGGGTTTCAAAGAGAGACGCATGGTTGTGTATCTTCAAAAATATAGCTTGCTGGAACCGTCCAGTATCTGCTACTGCACCTTTAAGAACAAGTTTGGGTTTTATTCACAGGACTCCCCTTATGATGGCATGCACTCGAAGGAACCTTGATGTGATTCAGAAGCTGCTGTCCTACAGTGCAGACCCCAGGTTGCAAAACAAGGATGGATGGAACTCATTCCACATCGCCTGCAGGGAGGGCGAGCCTCTGGTTGTGGAATACCTGCTGCATGCTTCGCCAGACTTTTGGAGGACTGAAAGCAAGACTGGCAGAACACCGCTGCACACTGCAGGTAATGCATCTTCACATCTGTAAATTAATCTTGTGTACAAATGATTTGATGACTTAACACGGCATCATCACGATCTACCAGATTATCATCATTTTTGTCCTTACTGCAGCTTTGCACGGCTGTGTGGAGGTCGTTAGCATCCTGCTGGAGAGGTAAGGGTTAAATATTGCAATTAAAATCATGTGGAGCATTAGATAGGAAGTTTCTGTCAGTGGAACTGCAAAAAAGCTTGAACTCCTATAAATAACTTCAGTTGAATTTTGTTTGTTTACAAAGCCCCAATATACAACACTTATTGTCCCAAAGACAATTCAATCGAATCATCTAGACAGAATTGTTAGAAGTTTCCTATCTAAAGAACCCCTGCTGCTTGCTGGATGTTCTCCTCTTGGAGAAGCATTTAGTAAAAACAGACCTACTGTCACATTTTGTGGTTGACTCAACAGCAATCCCTCACACTGGGCCTGCTTGCAGCGACAGAGTGGCAAAACTTAATTTTAACAGGAAGACACCTCCAGCAGAACCAGGCTCAGTGTTAACCGCCATCTGCGGAGGCTGAGGGTTCAAGGAGACAGAAGCAGACACAGAAAAGGAATATAGAAGCACTTATGTTAGAAAAGGTAACAGTAAAGTAGTTCCATAGGTTTCTCTGTCCAGGAAAGAAACGCTTAAGCAAATGAGCTCTGAACCAGTTTGAAAGAGGAATGAAAGTGAGAACATACAGTTAGTCACAGTTAAAGCTCACCGCATAGCTATATCTAGGAGAGAAACAAGAATAAGCCCTGAAAAAGAGGCCCATCTCTATCATTCATAATGGCAGTGATCCAGTTGATACCACCCTCCAAGATGGTGTCACGGCTAAACAGAACCAGGGTAGATGAAGCTACTAAGCTACTATTAAACTGAAAGAACATAAAGTGAGTGGTTGAAATAAAAAATACTGCAGACTAAAAAAACAAGAGATAGAACGATGCATAATGAAGAAAAGCGGTCCCTATGTCATCCAGTAGCCTAAGCCCATATTGGCATAACTATTGAGCTAGCTACTGAAGCTTTATCAAATGGGCTATTCATAGCACATTCCATATAGGGGGACTATGTAATCAGGTGGAGTTTTATTCTCTGGTTATATGAGACAAACATGAAACTGTTTGACCTACATCCACCCTCATTAGTAGAAAAATAACACTGTAGATTACCCTGAATGCTTCAGTCCCACTGGAAAACTTTGTGATGGAGGCACATCCCATAACTCTAAAGTTATGCAGATCTGAGTGAAAGCATGATAAATCACTTAAGTTTGGGATTATAATTTTGAGAAAAACCTATGGAGAGGTGATTACTTTGCAACACTAGGCCTCATAACCTATCAGCTGTAATGTTATTAGTTAATAGTTATGCCATGAGGCATAAAATGCTCTGACTGAGATCTAACTCTACTGCTACTCTTCCAGGTGTAGCTACAGCCCAAATAGCACAGACAGCTGCGGAGTCACGCCTTTCATGGACGCTCTCAGGAACGGACACCTCCCTGTGGCGCGGCTGCTTTTAGAGAAACACCAGGTGGAATAAATAAATGTGGGATTTTCTTTAAGTGAGAATCTGGTAAATATCTTCAGGACTAGTTTATTTAACTGTTGTAAACAGAGGTTATATTACCGTACATTTGAGACATACAACAAGTCAAGAAAATCCTCATCGCAGGGGAAAGATAATTTAATTTGCGGAGGAGGCTAAAAGATTTATCTGCTCTTTAAAAGACTTCTTTAGGGTAATGCAACCATGATGTTAAAATAATCCTCCCCCTTTTATTTTCTTTTAAACACCCACACAAACACCAGCCTCCACAAGTAGTCCTTAAAGGGGTCAAAGAATGCAAAACCTAGTTTCCATTGTCATAGATGGATGACGATAATTCAGTGGGTGAAATGGACGTACAGAGAAGTTCAAACCCCATCGAAACCTCCTTGAGGTAGATGGAAGACACCAGTTTAGCTGTTTAGCCCACAGTTGGGTTTACTTCTACAAGAGTTACAAAGCAGGCAGTTTCTCTATGGAAAATAAGCCAGGTCCACAGGCGGAAATGAAGTGTTCCAGGCTGCTCAGCGAAAGGGGAAAATTTTCACAGTGTTCCCGAAGACTCGACAGGCATGGATTACTTTTGTCTATCAGAAGATCCACGCAAAGTTTGATGCTCAGCTGTTCATTTCCTCATTTTACTGAAGACAGCTTTCAAAATCTTGGACAGTTCAAAGCAGGATTTGCTAAATTTCTTTTACTGAAACTAGGGGCTGTTCCCACCGTAAGGCCATCACAACCACTGGCTGTAATTATGAATCTGTTGCTAAGCTGTTGATGGCAATGCTAACATATCTATGGTTGGGACGATTTTGAAATTCCCCCTGGACATTTTTTAATGTGTGAAAGTAGGACATGTCCGGGAAAAAGGGGACGTCTGGTCACCCTACCAACTATTTGATGTTTCAGTGAGTAAGTGCTTGTTGCTATGATTCGTCTTTGCTCAGCAGCTTTGCTCGTTGTAAACCAATCAATCAGAGCACAGCTCATCTAAATATTCATGAGCATACCATAAAAGGAAGAAAACCTGTCGTTTCATTCTAGGGCTTTTAACCAGGCTGCATTAGGGCTCATAGAACAGAAAATATGCCATTTTCATGCCAACCAATGTTACACACCCTATTCAGAGACCTTAAGGACGAGCACCAGATACCCTATAGAATCATTCTATGACCCCTTTAATGCACTACTGTGTCTTAAAAAGGGTAAAATACAAGTTCCTCTTAAAATGAGGCTTTAAGGTTTTCCTATCTGAGCCAAAATCTAAATTTGATGGCATGTGACAAGGTTTTACTTTTACAATAAATGTTGCATGGCTAATCACTCGATATTTGCCATGACATTGCAGGCATCTCCGATGGCAGCTGATGTACTCGGTACTCAGCCGCTGCATCAAGTGGCTGTCACTGGTCAGGAGGAAGCCCTACGTTTTCTGGTGCAGGACCTGGGTGTGGACATTAACCAGAGAGCCACCGCCATCCAACTCACCGCCCTGCATTATGCTGCAAAGGTTAGATCAGCAGTGATCAATTTGAGTTTCTTATGGACCTCAAAAGCTTTTTCATAGCAGTTCATAGAGAAAAAGTGAGTGTTGAGAACATTTTCTTAGGGTTATAAATTGGTGCTGAAAACAATGCAGATCTGTCTGATCCGAGTCAGTGAAAGACTGTAGATCTGGGAACTGATATGAAAAATAACTAACTAAAATGAATTCACGGCACTAGATGGAGGCATGGAAATGTGTACTTAGTATTTTACTGCTGCTTTAGGATATAGCTGCTGTAAAAGAGCAATGTGGCAATGTTTTTTGTTTGAATTTTGCTCTTCAGCAATCCCTCACACTGAACATGCATGCCATGACAGTGGAGAGGAAAAATCAATTTTAACAGGAAGAAACCTCCAGCAGAACCAGGCTCAGTGTGAGCGGCCATCTGCTGAGGCCGACTGGGGTTCAAGGAGACAGAAGCAGACATAGAAAAAGAAGCATAGATACAAAAGGCAACTGTAAACCAGCTCACAGGCGGCCCCCTCCAGGAAACACACAGCCAGGCAGACGAGCTCCAAGCCAGCTCCCATGTCAGAGGATGAAGAGAGCAAATCCAGTTAGTCACAGTCAGAGAAACAGGACTACACTGGAAAACAGGTTGATCTCCAGCATCTATAAACAAAGGTGTTGATGGCAGCAGCACAGCTGATATTTCTCTCCAGGATGGAGTCACAGCCAAACAGGAACAGACCAGATGAAGCTACTATGAGAAAAAATACAAAGTCAGAAATGTTTCAAAACTAAAAATAGAGTGCAGAAAAGTCTGATGTATTTACTGATGTAACACTTTTAAATATCTTTTTTTTTTTACTGCTTGGCAAGTAGGCTTATTTTTCTGACGTGAGGATTCATTTATTCTTAGTATACTACATACATTCTGATGCCAGACAGACAGAGAGAGATAGAGGGGGGTGAAGAGTGAGGGGGAACATAAAAGAAACAACATAACAGAATCCAACAACCAGCTTCTTTTAAACTGCTCCTGAAGCATCCATGGGGAAACCTTGAGAGGACCATCACAGAACACGGATAGCAAAACTACCTGCAGAACAACATTTGAGCAAACTTGACAGCATTAATGCGCAAATCACACACATATGCTCACTAACTCACTCGCATAGTCTAAAGTGTGTCTGTGTGTGAGTATGCACAAAGTGTGATGTAGACCTTATATTAGAATCAGAAATACTCATATATTACACATATAACTCTTCTCTCTCTCTCTCTCTCTCTCTCTCTCTCTCTCTCTATATATATATATATATATATATATATACTCTCTCTCTCTATATATATATATATATATATATATATATAGAGAGAGAGAGAGAGAGAGAGAGAGAGAGAGAGGTTTGACGTTGTTTATTTACTTTACATCAGGAAAACATAGTCTGTTTCCATCATCACAATAAAAAAACAACCATTATCACACAAAAAAAACCCCAAACGTTAAATATTAAGAACCAGGGAGCCATCTTCCTCTACTGAACATAAAACATGTCTAGTCCCCCACAGAGCGCTAAAAGCCTCCACATTATTAGTCAGTTTGTAGAAAGCATGCTCCACTCTCAGACGAGCTGCAACCAGACCTTTCAGGCTCTGCACCACATCTGTCCAACCCTGACCCAGCATCTGATTCTTCCTGGTTCTCCAAATGGCTAGTTTAGCCACCCCAAACAAAAAATTAATTAAAACTAATTTCAGTTTTCTCCTCACTGTGTATCTGGGTCCAAAAACAAACAGAGGAAGAGAGAAAACCTCCCCCAAAGCTTCCACCCATCCTTTCAAAACTTTAAAAAGATCAACTAGCCGAGGACAACCCACCACTAAGTGATCTAATGTTTCCCTGTGAGTGCAGAATGGACAGCCCTCCCCAGTGCCTGGATCCAGGTGAGCTCTGTGTCTGTTTGTGGCTATTGCTCCATGTATAATCCTCCACTGAAGGTCCGCCATCCTTTTCTCAACAGGGGGTTTATACAGGACCCTCCACCTGCCTTTAGGGGTAACGTCTGAGGCAAATATCTCACACCATTTTGACTCCTTCACTCCAGCCAGAGAGTGAAAATTCAGCACTTTCACACAGTTGTAGTACAGCTGCTTCCTCCCACAGGAGCTGAAAATTCCCAGCTCTGGTGTTTTCATGCTGAGAAGAAAACAACTCTTCTCCTGTTGCTCCTCAGTAGCTGGACAGACACTCAGAGAGGGAAAAATATACACACCATCATCCCTCCACTGGCCAGCGTGATTCTTAGCAAAGCTTCTCATTGGTTCAGACAGGGACTGCCAGACTTCCTCCATAATCCTATTCAGCACTCTGTAAGACTGGATGCTTGTAATGTCACTGAGCGTCTCCAGGGATGTTTTGGTGAGGTGGCGCAGTTTAGTAATGCCGGCCTCAACAAATTTTGTTCTTAATATAGCAGAAGAAAAAGTAGCGTTTCTAAAGAAGTTGTTGTGAAACAGTGGTTCCTCATAGATCCACATCCCTGGCCCAGAGTCCTGATTCCTTGTGACCTTCAGTGTCTGCCAGGCATTAATCACCGACGTGTAGAAAGGTGTGAGTCCTGTCAGGTCAACTTCAGATGGTCTTAGCAGAAATAACTGCTTATCCAGTCCAAGCCGTCCAGCATACCTAAGTAGCAATCGAGCAGGGGATAACCAGCAGCGACTGCAACCATACAACAGCCTCTGTGCCGTCTGCAGTCTGAAAGCCGCGGTTCTGGAAAGAATGTCTACAAGTCCTTGTCCTCCTTCTGCCACAGGGAGATACAAGACCGATGCCCTCAGCCAGTGTTGACCAGACCAGAAAAAGTCAACCAGGAGCCGCTGCACTTCTTTCAGTAGGCCTGATGGTGGCACCAACACGATGAGCTTGTGCCACAGAGATGATGCAACCAGGTTATTCACTATCAGAGCTCTTCCCCTATAGGACAGGTGAGGTAGCAACCATTTCCATTTAGACAACCTGGCTTCTACCTTTTCCAGCACTCCCTCCCAGTTCTGTCTCTGAAAATCCTCCTTCCCAATAAAAACTCCAAGACTTTTTATACCCCTTTTTCCCCACTTAAGGTTACCAGGAAGACAAGGAATGCTCCCCACAGCCCACTCCCCCACTAAACAAGCCTCACTTTTTCCCCAGTTCACCTTAGCAGAGGAAGCTTTTCTATACAAGGACAAACTTTCTTGTAACTCTTGAACGTCTCCCTTATTGCAAATAAATATGTTTACATCATCAGCATATGCTGATACAATAACAGGGGGCATGTTAGCCAACTCTGGCAGGGAGAGACCTCGCAGTCTACTCCTCAACCGACAGAGGAGAGGCTCAATGGCAATACTGTAAAGCTGGCCTGAAATGGGGCAGCCTTGTCTGATCCCTCTCCTAACTGGCACTGGAACACTCAATCCACCTCCCACCTTCACCACACAACAGGCACCTCGATACAACAGCTTTACCCAAGACAGAAAACCTTCCCCAACACCAAAAGCCTGTAAGGTAGTAAAAAGAAAATCATGATCCACTCTGTCAAAGGCCTTCTCCTGGTCTATGGATATGATACCAACATTAATGTCATAAATTTTACAAATATCAAAAACATCTCTCATTAAAAACAAATTATCAAACATAGACCTATCAGGTACACAATATGATTGATCTGCACCAATTAGAAAATCAATAACAGTTTTCAGTCTGTTTGATAAGACTTTTGAAAGAATCTTGTAGTCCGTACATAAAAGAGCTACTGGTCTCCAGTTCTTTAAAAGGGCTAAATCTCCCTTCTTAGGGAGCAAAGAAAGAACTGCACGCCTACAAGAAGCTGGAAGTGTCTTTTTCATAAGACACTCTTTAAAAACATCCAAAAGGTCCTGTCCCATGATGGTCCAGAAATGTTTAAAAAAGTCTGAAGGCAGACCATCTATTCCCGGAGCCTTTCCAGATGTCATCTGAGACACGGCAGCAGTCAGTTCATCCAGAGTTATTTCCAAACCCAGAGCCTCCCGATCTCCTGGATCCAACTGAGGTAGTCCTTGAAGAAGCTCCGCAGCAGCATCCACATCACAGCCGTCCGCCCTGAACAAGTCAGTGTAAAAGTCCACGGCATGCCTCCTCATCTCCGTTGGGTCTGTGGTCACCTTCCCATCCGGGAGACGGAGACACACCATCTGTTTTTTTGAAGTAATTGACTTCTCCAGGTTAAAAAAGAAGGTGGTTGGTGCATCAATGTCCTGTAGTCTTGTGAAGTGTGCTCGGACTAGAGCTCCTTTTGCTCTCTCCTGCAGGAAAGAGTTGAGCTCCCCCTTTTTTGATCGTAAAAGATCATTTTGCTGATTCTCTTTAAGGGCATTTTCCAAGTTCCTTATCTGGTCCTCTAACTCCTGCACAGCTCTCTTGGTTTTTGTAGTGACACCAACTGTATATTCCTGACAAAAAACTTTAACCTGAGCTTTTCCTACCTCCCACCACTGAGCCAGGGAAAGAAAATCAACTTTCTGGGATCTCCAGTAGGCCCAAAACAATTTAAAATTTTCACAAAAAGTAAGATCCTTTAATAATTTAACATTAAAACGCCAAAAAGATGTTTGTTTTCCAGTGGGAGAGAGAAACAGCTCCATTAAGACTAGATGGTGGTCAGTAAAAACTACTGGGAATATTTGACAGCTAAGAACTCTAGTAGTGAAAGAAGCAGGTAGATAAAACCTGTCCAGTCTAGCTGCACTTACTCTCCCATCTGATATTTTGACCCAAGTGTACTGCCTATCAGAAGGGTGTTTCATCCTCCACACATCAACCAAATCGTTTTTTGTAAATACTTGAGACAGAAATAAGGAGGACTGAACATGTGGCTCCTCTCCGGTCCTATCTAATGTAAAATCAGTGCAGCAGTTCCAGTCACCACCCAATACAATAAACTCTCCTGTACCAATATTATTTAGTTCTTCCTTCAGTATTTTAAAAAAATTTTCCCGCTCAGAGCCTTGGTTTGGTGCATATAAATTAATGAAAATGAAGCTGAAACCCTCTACTTCAGCTCTCACCATAAGCATTCTGCCCTTCACCACCTCTGTGCTGGAAATAACAGTTACATTTAACTTGGAAGAAAACAGAATGGCAACTCCAGCACTTAGATTTGTCCCATGGCTAAGGACATGATGCCCTCCCCATCATAAGCCCCAATCTATTTCATTCGTGCTATCAGTGTGTGTTTCTTGTAGGAAAAATACATCCAGTCTTTTCTGTGTGATAACATCTGTTAATATAGCCCTTTTTTTTCCATCTCTACCCCCATTTATGTTTAAAGAGGCCACTCTTAGACCCTGCATGTAAGGAGAATAGAGACAGACCAGTAGGGAAAACCAACAGAATTGAAACACCCAGTGTTGTACAATCATGTTACTGTTTGTTAAAGTTTCATTTTCTTTGACATTTTACCCTTTGTTGTTTTAAGAGTTTTCCTTAGACCTGTGACGTGCTTCTTAAGACGAAAACGTTTCTTGCTGTCCAGTAAATCATAACCAACAACTCTCTGCAAAGTAGTGACCGATTCATAAATTTATCCACATCAGGAAAATAATCTTTTACTTTTTTTCCAAAGGTGTCATCTAGAAAACCATTGATTTCCTCCAGAGAATACAAATCAACACTCTGAAAGTAGCTGTCTGCGATAGAGAAACTATCAGAATCAGAATCATTATGGCCATGAGTGGATTCCATCTGATCATCTGCCTCACTATCAGGGTTCACCTGCAGAAGCTCTGCATCCTGCACAGGACTGCACTCTGCATCCTTTTCTGACCTCCCCAGGTCATCCGCTCTCTGCCCTGTCCTGTCCACAGCTTCTTCCTCACCTACAGCACTGTCTGTCAACTGGAGGGAACCATCACCCTCAGTCCCAACCACTGAGCCACTGTCAGCTCCTACCACGGAGCAGTCTCCCTCAGTATTATTACGAGGAGTAGCCTCGGGCAGCGCCCGCTGTCCACTGCTCCCCTCCCCGCTATCCTCTCCCGCAACGCCCGCCTCGGGACCCGCCGCAGCGCACGCCTCGGGACCCGCCGCAGCGCACGCCGCGGGACCCGCCGCGGGCCCCACCACACTCTGTCTGTGGGGACATGCCACCCGCTTGTGGCCCACATCTCCACACTCAAAACACTTCATGTTTCCAGAACTGGCGTACACCATGTAGTATCCCTGCTCATGTTTGACACGGAACGAAACGTCCAGCGTTTGGGTTGGAGAATCTAGGAACATAAACACTTGTCTCCGCAGAGATTGAACATGTTTCAGTTTGGCATCCTTACAGCCCAGATTCACCACCCGGAAACCGCTCGCAAATCTTCCAAAACGCTTCAGCTCTGTCTCCAGAGCCTCATTGGAAATAAACGGGGGGACACCAGATACGGTGATCCGGACCGAAGGCACTGCCAACGGGGAAACCTGAAAAAACTCATCATCCAGGACCAGTCCGGTTTCTATGAGCTGACTTACATGTTCCAGATTTTTTAGAAACACAACCACTGCCTTATTCATGCGTGAGGCATATGAGATGTTTCCATGTCCCACCTGTTCTCCTACTGCCAGCAGCACCTGCTCCACCGTAGTGCTGGGCTGCGGCACAATCCTCACCCCATGCTTCAGAGACAGGGACGGCGCCACCGAGGACGCCATCCCTGTCAAGAAACACGGCCTACCGCCCCCCAAAGCACCCAAACACACGGTAACTTGGGGTGATACAAGAATAAACAATTAACAAACAATCACACAGTAAACAGTTAGAAAGAAAAAAAAAAGAAAAGTTTGAGATTACTCACAAGCTCTCAGCCACACTCTCCACCACCAAACTCCCAGCATGCACTCAGAGAGAGAGAGAGAGAGCGAGAGAGCATATATACATATGAGCCAGAAAGGTCCCAGAGCTGAGAATTTACATTTATCAACCAGACCAGGCAACAGGAAAACACCTTAATTTCTCTTTAAATAAAAACACTATTGTGAAAATAATTTTTTTTCAACATTAACAAAGCAAGAAAGTTTACACAGAATTTTAATGGAAATGGTGGTCAAGGAAGTTTTACAAAATGAAATTCTGATTGCAATGTAAATTGTAGATGACAATAATGTTGATAGATTGATCGATATGGCCTAATATTATATTTATAAACTAAAGTTGATAAATCAGATTAGTCATAAAGCTCTACGTATGAAGAAAGAAAAAGTCTAGGAGACTTATCCACCACTGATACAATAGTGACTGCTTAAGATTTCGTAACAGAAGCCTATAGAGATCTGTGAATTAAAGAAATCTCACCAAAGCCTGGTAAAAGTGAAGGTCTACACCCTGGTAATAAAGCTGTGCTTTTTAAGGAAGGCCATGCTGCCATGATAAAAACATTGGTGGAACTTGGAGCAGACCTTCACGCTCGGGACAATAAAGGACGCACTGGTAAGAAGTGTGTCAGCCATCATGTTATTATTTTTGTTAAAAGTGTAATTTATTGGCATAATTTACTGCTCTTCTTGTCTCCTCCCCCTGTAAGCTCTTCATATGGCTTGCATTGGGCAAAATGCGGAAGCAGTCAGGATGCTCTTTCAGCTTGGCCACAAGGATTCTAAGGATGCCTCTGGTGCAACAGCACGACAGCTGGCAAGGAAGCAGGACGTGGTGCGACTGTTTGACGGGCCAGAAACATCAGATGGTGGATCATTATGAAAACAAACACAAAGTTGCAACTTTGAAAGCCTGAAAAGCCTGATCAGATTCAGGCTCAGTAAGCCGGAGGTAAACTCACCTCCCCGATGTGACAGCACTGATGATATCACTTCATTCTCATTTGCCTGTGCAGTTCATTGGACAATAAAATTGTGATAAAAAGTGTTTACTGTGGTGCTTGTGGTAGAGTATGGACTTTTTGTAAAGATGTAGTTAATAAATCTATAACAGAAAAATCTTTGATTTCTCTAACAGTTTAGGATTCAGAGATGTACTATGACTATGAACCTCTATTTCAGTTGCTCATTCTTGTGAAAAGGCTTTCCTGTGAAATTATGGTGTCTTATTGTGTCTTATTATATTCTATGTTTTACATTTTGTTTTTGGCCTCTTTGTTAGTTTGTTACCACAGTGAAGGTTTGGAAAGAAAGAAGAAAAGTCTGAAATCAACTGTGAAGAAGTGCAAAAATATCTGAAGCCATGAGGGATAGTGTTCAGAATATGAATGTTGGTGTTCACTTAGGTAATTAAAGTTAAAACTGCAGAAGCTGCCAAGATAACGGATGTGTAGTATTTTTGTAGATTTATAGGTGAAGGTGTTAGACCTAGCTGTATAACATCCATGAGTTAGACCTCACTTGCAAAGGATAATGTTAAATATAGGAAGATTTTTATTCATGCAGACTAGCTTAAATGCAGCCTTATAATGTTTCTTATGCATCTTAGACTTGATTGGCTTTGTTCAAATATGAAGAGTCCCATGTGTGGCAAAGTAAACAACAGGGCTGCTCAATTCTGAGAATCCCAGGTCAGCCAAAGGGATATCCCCTTGGCCAAGTAGCCAAGGCATAGTGACAGGACCTCACACTGTCACACATATCTCACCTTCATACTTTGCACATTGTGCTGAAATAAGGCATTGCATGTAGAGAAATAACAATACTTTCTCAAAACCCGGTCCTCTGACCACTTTTTATTTAGTTTAAGTTTTCCCCTAAAAGAAGGTTTCACTTTAGCAGATCATTGACAGATAATGCAGTAAGAAAAAATCTGTTCCACTTTTTTCCCTTGGCATACTGGAACAATACTGCAGAGGGCAAACATTTAATTTATTCCCCTTCAAAAATTGATGATTTTGTTGCTGGGACCACAACTTGCTTTCCTAACCAATCTGGCAGTATTGTCTCTGTAAAGTGCCTTGAGATTACAGGTTGTGCATTGGCGCTATATAAATACACTGAATTGAAGTGAAACTGATTTGATAATTAAACCATTTACAATTGTCCCCTTGAAAATCTATGTTTTTCAATTTGGGAAAACCCCACTGAGTAGATGTGCATATAAAATAAAATGCCAAGAACACAACTCTCAGGTTACAGTCAAAACTCTGCCCTGTCAGATATGTTGCAGTGTAATAATTCACAAACACAGCAGGTAGCATCTGGTTGAACTTGTTGATTCACGAAAGCAGGAAACAGAGGCCAGGTTTTCTTAAGGTATTTTTGTTCTTTCATATACATAAACTTCTATGAAAAAATTGTAATAATATATATGTGAATTCAAACCTTATATTTGATTCGAAACCAGGAGGATCAGAAACAGGCAACAGCTCCTTTCATGAGTAATGCAGTTCAAATATTTATATTGATGTATTTTTATTATATGTATTTTTATTAATGTGTATGTCTAATAATTTCTATACTGAATATGATCAAATGTGTTTTATGTGTGGGTCAAATTAAGTTAAATTCTCCGTAGAGATCCAAAAATGGTTTAATATGAAAAAGTTTTGATGGATTTCTGGTACTTATGTAAATAAGTAGTGCAAGAGTGTGGATAGGACAGAGAGCGGTGAAAGTAAAGAAACTCTCAGATGTTGCAAAACAGTCAGATATGGTACTCAAAAAAGCTTTTCGTTCCAGAAAAAAATGGTTGGTTTAGAAATTGCTTTCTCCAGAAACAAGTTGCTTTAAAATCGTTTTTCCAGAAAAGTTGGTTTTTAGACAAAAAACCAGATAGAGTGGTAAAGAATAGATGTGATAGAGTGATAGAATGTCCAATAATTTAGATAGAATGGGTAAATGGGATAGGAGAGCTAGAAAGGCCAAAACAGAGGTAGAGAGAGGTAGGGAGTCAGCCAGGCACCTGTAAGAAGAAAGAAAATGTATTAAATGCTGTTCAAGGAAAAAATAAAGCAGCTTCTGCTAAAAAGAATCATTGATATAAATCTTTCAACCATTTGGTTTCAAAGCCTTAACATTAACTTATTTTTTTTCATTAAATATGAACAATAACTGATGTACAGTAGGGTATTTAATCAATCTTCCAAATTCATAGAAATGCTAAAACTATAGAAAAACAACTGAAGTTAGATTGGATATAAGCTAATCCTGATTTAAAATTCCCCTGGTAATAGATGATAAATAAATACATTGGTGTATTACGAATTGCACTATTGCAATACAGAAATTTATTTTCTGGATGACGTTCAGTTTTTAACAACTGTCCTGAATAACTCTTCTGTGTGAGCTAATTTAAAAGTGAGACAGTGGATGCTGAGGACATGGATAAAGACGTTTTTGGAAAGAAGTCAATGTTGTGACATCCAAATGGATGAGAAAAAATATTGTGTGCTGTTATCAAAGCTAAGGTCAGTCCAACCAACCTAATACTGACCAGGCAGGATACCGTTTGATCTATATAAAAATTCACTTTCAAGAGTTTGATGATGATGGCTTCTAAAATTCACGGAATAAAATACTGGTAAGTCTTCACATTCAACATTCCTTTACTTTTTCAGGACTATGAAAATAATTGTTCTCATGAGAAAGGAGAAAACCTTTTAGCTAAAAGCTTTGCACAAACTAATAAGTAAAATAGAAAAAAGATAGATGTCAAAACTGCATTAAATAGAAACTAACATTTTAGAACTAAACATAAAACATTGCTTACAAAGTAATGAAAATCTGTGTTTACTTTCAGGTGGACAGAGGAAAAAAACAATAAAAAACAGCCGATAATACCCAGCACTGTACTGATTATCTTGCTTTATCTCTCAAAACATTGAGTCAAAACAACACCATGCATGAACTAGAACAATACGACTGAGACCCTCACTGATATATACCTGACAGATCTTTACCAGGTCTAATATTTCTGGAAAACCATAAACCCTATGAACAGATCAAGAACTTTGCTAATTTTACAAAGTAAATGAAATGTTCCCATCTATATTTTCATAGCTCTCAGTTTGGTGCAGGGAAAATGAGTGCTTTACTACTTACAGTGTCCTTTATAGAAGTATGAAACACAGTTTCAACACAGAAATTCTAATTTATGAAATACTGTCACTTGGCTGTCACCATAAGCAGCTACTGAAAAGCAGAAAAACAATAATTTGTATGCAATGTTCAAAAGACGTCATATTGTAAAAACTGACAAATGTGATCATAATCAGTAGCAGCAAGAGCAGCAGGGAGTGTTGATTCTCAATCTATGGAAAGAAAAATAATTTGAAGGACACACTTCATAAGTCCCGGTTTGAACAGTATAAAAGTCACATATATAGAAAGTGTAGCAGTAATAATAATTGAGTGTTTGAGCCGATGTCATAATTTGTTTGTTTTTATAAGACTATTCAAATATTTCTGATCAAACAGCATTTGTTGCATTCTTAAAAAACATGCATGTCCTTTTGATAAGGAATTCATTAAAGAATGATCAGCGTTTTTTTTTTTCACTGAAAAAATATTTATAGAGAGGATTCTATAACCCAGTTGACAGGAAATGAGATTAGTTTAATATGAGCAACATGCAGATAATTTTATTTTTATGTAGACTTAGACTTGATCCCTTGGGAAGACTCCCTCTGGAAATTAAGGTTACTGTAAATTAAATTAAAATTAAAGGAATAGTACACCCAAAACATGATTAGCCTTCATTTTCTACTCACCCCCATGCTGAACAACACTCTGGAGTACTTTTTTAATATCTCAAATGCATCTGGAGATCTGGGAGGCTTCTTGCTGTCTGCTGACATTCAAATAATGGAGGTCTATGGCGCCCGAGGCAGAAAGGTCCATAAAAGTCCACAAAAAACGTTTCAATATTCCTCCATACTGCTCGTCCAATGTATTCCAAGTGTCCTGAGTGGGTAGCATCCAGAATTTACTCGAAACGAAGTCATTTAGAATGTTTTTAGAGCATAAACAGTAGTGTATAGGATTTCCTGAAAGCGCGTACACGGCGCTACGGAAACCGCGGCAGACCAACCCAGACGAAAGTGCGCATTCAGCTCAGCAAAGAACTCATGCTCTTCCTCAACACTGAAGTCCTCAGACTTTGCCCCCAGCAATATCAGCTGGGGGCAAAAATAACCAGAGCATGATGTCAAAGTTAATGTGAATGCTCTTCAAAATAACAAAATAAATTAATAAAAATAACACAAACTCATAAGCAATGTATTCTGGTGTCCCATGAAAAATTGTGTTTTAGAAATGCTGAAATGAAACATTTTACCTGAATTTAAAAAAAAATGGTAAAATAAAACTATGTAATACAAGGATATGAAAATTCCTTATTGTCAGTGTACTTTAGAAATTCTACACAAAATGTAAATGGCTGGAAATTTTTGCACAATTTTTGACAAATATGTTTTGAGTTACCCACAACACTTTGACTTGACAACACTAGGATTGAGATGGTAATTAGATAAAACTGACAAAGTACAAAACCAACAAAACAAATGTTGGAGAAAAATGTAATGCATGGAGGTTTAATTAAAAGATTATTATTATAAAAGTGCTGCAATTACAATATTTTACTCATTTGTAGACTGTTTAAATCACGTTCAGTTCACCATGTCTGCAGAAGATGGCAGTATAAAGGGGTTCCTTAATGAACAAAGTGAACCACTATAAGGCTCCATGCAGTAACAGCCAAACCCTTTCTTCCACATAAATTAACTCTTGAATTAAATGTAGTTGAAAATGTGGTTGTGTGAAGCTAAAATATCTCCTTGGCTTATCAAGAAATGGGTTAGTTGAGAAATACCCACCATGTTTGTTCTTCCAGAGCATTGCTGAGCTGTAAGCTGGCAGCTTCCTGATTCCTGCAGAAAAGGTTAAAATTGCCGCAAGCCGTTTTTTATTGTTGCCTAATTAAATTTTAACATTGTTTGCTTAGAATTGTGCTTACATATCCTAGCAATTTATGCGACATATTACTACATATTCCTATAAGTAACGCTTTTATGGCTTACGCATGTAATAGTATAATACTGCAAAGCAGGCACGTGCAGAGGGGGGGGGCTAAGGGGGCTTGAGCACCTGCCCCTTTTGCTCCATGATCCCAATGTGCCCTTTTGGCCCCTTTTTTTTTA